CCAATTCCACTCGATCTCGTATCTGTAGACTTCGACCGCCTTAGCGGACTTATTGGTATCCGAGTAGATCCTGATCTCTATCTCTGACAGTGGGCTTAGATCCAACGAGTACTCCATGACTAGAATTGTTGCCTACACCGAGGTGACCAACTAGGCACACTAGGATCGTACGTAGTAAAGGTGGGCCTTGAGCCCATTTCTGCCACCACAAATTACATGCAAACTGACTCAACCTCGCTGCCGCACACTGCGTAGGAAGATTTTCGTTTGGGAGGTAACGTGGAATCAGTGGATTCATCGATACTGAATGCCACAACAACAACCAAACGACCTGTCTTCGCTAATCATACCCGTGTAGGTAGTAAGGGCGTTTGACAAACTTGCTTAATTCAGTTGACTCAATTGTGAAAAATTCGCGGCCACGGTGGTAGTCGAACCCACACAGCAGGGAAGGCTTTTGCGCAGCCACTGGTCTACCATCGAGCTACGAGGCTCACCGTGCGCCGTGAATTTAATCACACTTGGATCGATTTTACCCACCCAACTTACTGCTTTCTTGGAATCCACCATCACGGAACAGCAAGGTGACTGCCTAGGCAGGATTTCCTAAGAGATCATATAGAATCCACCAGACTGACTACTAGGCTCACTTAATTGTTAGGAGGGTTCGACAGATTTGCTTAATTAAGTTTACTTAATTGTTATCGTGATTCCTGCTTAGGGTCTTTACTGCGCATATATCATTATTTTAATGGCGATTTAAGAATCGCCTACATGTACAGGGCAGTTACTGTTCCTTTGAAGGGGTGCAGCTCATGGCAGATTAGCTCTCTAACTTGCATAATGGAAACTTTCTTTTTTTTCCACAGAACTCGTTCAAAAGGCCATCGGTGCTGGTGATGACGAAGTACTAATGGTTATCGCCCAGAAACTCCCCGCACTGGCTGACGTCCTTGGAACTGCGGGCGAAGGACCTGTCTCTCTGATTGTGAGTAATCTCCGCGAATTTTTTATTTTGTAACCCGCTGGCACACTGTCAGGGGGATTGTTGATGTTCCTTCCTACTCATATCACTTTTTTGATGTGTCTGAAGTACGCTGTGGGCGCAGAGAGTCACTAGTGTCTATTCGAGGCGCGGAAAAAGGCGGCATGGTTAAACGGCAGGGGGTGTTGTGTTTGGTAGGAAAAAGTTTTCCCG